GACAGGGCAGACGAATATTATACCAACAGGCACTGATTGCCTTCAAGGAGAATAGCTCAGCTGTGTAGAATTACTTCCCTTCTGAATAAAAAAGAGAGAGAGAGAGAGATTTACCATGCCAAACCTGGTGTGTCAACTTTGGCATACTCTAAACCTGGAAGAACTGAACAGAGCTCTCTGGCCACACCCACCACAAGCCTCTAAAGATCCACCAAAAGCAGACAGTCCACTTAATCTAGAGTCACAGTATAACAAGAAAAGCCACTACAGCAAGGAAAAAATAAAAAAGAAACCAAAGAATATCTCCACAATGCCAAGCAATGAGTGCAGAAACCGAGGAAACAAGAACAAGAAAGACATTACGACACCCCCAAATGAACATGACACTCCAATACAAGATTATGAACATGATGAGATAGAAGAAATGCAAGATACGGATCTCAAAAAATTTATGTTAAGAACATTTAGAAGTTCTCAAAAACAAATTCACAAACTACAGAAATCCTTACTGGACAGGATAGAAAATCTCTCTCATGAAAATGAAATCTTAAGGAGGAATCAAAATGAAATGAAGAATATAGTAGAACATGAAATTGTGATATTGAAGTCAAAATGAAATGAAGAATTCAATAGACCAAATGACAAATGCATTTGAGAGCCTTAAAAACAGAATCAGTGGAGCAGAAGAGAGACTATCAGACTTAGAAGATAGAGCACATGAAAGTATACAGTCAAACCAAAGAAAAGAAGAGGAAATTAGAAATCTAAAAAACATTGTTCAGAATCTACAGGATATTACTAAAACACCCGACATTTGGTTTCTAGGAGTTCCTGAAGGCATGCAGAGAGAGAAAGGATTAGAAGGCCTTTTTAGTGAGATACTAGCAGAAAACTTTCTGGGTTTGGAGAAGGACAGAGACATCCAAGTAGAGGAAACACATAAGACCCCCAATAAACATGACCAAAAGAGATCCTCACCATGCCATGCTGAAATAAAACTCACCAGAGCGAAACATAAAGAAAAGATTCTAAAATATGCCAGAGAGAAACGCCAGATTACTCTCAGAGGATCTCCAATTAGACTCAAAGTACACTTCTCATCAGAAACCATACAGGCTAGGAAGGAATGGTGAGATATAGTCCAGGTATTGAGAGAAAAAAACTGCCAGTCCACAATATTATATCCTGCAAAGCTCTCCTTTGTGAATGATGGTGAAATGAAGACCTTTCATAGCAAACAGAAATTGAAAGAATTTGTCACCACTTGTCCAGCCCTACAAAAGATGCTTAAAGATGTGTTACACAGAAACATGGCCATCAATATGAAAGAAGATAAAGGAAGAAAACCTCCCAGTAAAAGATCACAGGAAGTTCAAAGCATATATTAGAAATCTTTAGAAAAATGGCAGGGCAAAGTCACTACTTATCAATAGTCACATTGAGTATATATGGCCTCAACTCTCCAGTTAAAAGACACAGACTGGCTGAATGGATTAAAATACAAAACACATCTATTTGCTGCTTACAAGAAACACATCTTTCCAACAAATATGCATGCAGATTGAAAGTGAAATGCTGGAAAAAGATATTCCATGCTAACAGAAACCAAAAAAGAGCTGGTGTAGCCATATTAATATCAGACAAAATAAATTTTAACACAAAAACTGTTAAGAGAAACAAAGAGGGGCACTATGTAATAATTAAGGGATCAATTCAACAGAAAGATGTAACTATTATAAATGTTTATGCACCTAATTACAGGGCACCGGTTTATTTAAAAGATATGTTAAGGGACTTAAAGGGAGAAATAGACTCCAATACAATAGTATTGGGGGACTTCAATACTCCACTCTCAATAGACAGATCAACCAGAAAGAAGATCAACAAGGAAACAGATTTAATCGACACTATAGCACAAATGGATCTAACGGATATCTATAGAAGTTTTAATCCTACACTTAAAGAATTTACATTCTTCTCAGCAGTTCATGGGACCTACTCTAGGATTGACCACATATTAGGCCATAAAGCAAGTCTCAGCAACTTCAAAAGAATCGAAATCATATCATGCATCTTCTCAGACCACAGTGGAATGAAGCTGGAAATTAGCAACTCAGGAAGCCCTAGAGCATATGCAAACACATGGAGATTGAACAACATGCTCCTGAGTGAACACTGGGTCACAGAAGAAAGCAAAAGAGAAATCAAAAACTTTCTGGAAGTAAATGAGGATAACACCACAATATATCAAAACTTACAGGATACAGCAAAAGCAGTGTTAAGGGAAAGTTTATAGCAATAGGTGCCTACATCAAGAAATTGGAAAGGCACCAAATAGATGAGCTACCAATGCAGAAATGTAGAAAATGTAGAAAAACTACAGCAAACCAGACCCAAAACTACTAGGAGAAGAGAAATAATTAAAATCCGAGAAGAAATCAACAGGATTTAATAAAAAAAAATGTTAGAAAAGATCAGTCAAATGAAGAGCTGATTTTTTGAAAAAATAAACAAAATTGACACAATTGGCCCTACTAACTAAAAAAAAAGACCCAAATAAATAAAATCAGAGATGAAAAAGGGAATGTAACAACAGACACCACAGAAATAAAAAGAATCATCAGAAATTACTACAAAGAGTTGTATGCCAGCAAACAGAAATCTATCAGAAATGGATAGATTCCTGAACACATGCAACCTACCTAAATTGAAACATGAAGACACAGAAAACCTAAACAGACCCATAACTGAGACAGAAATTGAATCAGTAATAAAGGCCCTCCCAACAAAGAAAAGCTCAGGACCAGATGGATTCACTGCTGAATTCTACCAGACATTTAAAGAAGAACTAACTCCAATTCTTCTCAAACTATTCAGAAGTATTCTATGAAGCCAGCATCACCTTAATCCCTAAGCCGGAGAAAGATGCAGCATTGAAAGAAAATTGGCCTGCGCCGCGGCTCACTAGGCTAATCCTCCGCCTTGCGGCACCGGCACACCAGGTTCTAGTCCCGGTCGGGGCACCGGATTCTGTCCCGGTTGCCCCTCTTCCAGGCCAGCTCTCTGCTGTGGCCAGGGAGTGCAGTGGAGGATGGCCCAAGTGCTTGAGCCCTGCACCCCATGGGAGACAAGGATAAGTACCTGGCTCCTGCCATCGGATCAGCGCAGTGTGCCGGCCGCAGCGCACCGGCTGTGGCGGCCATTGGAGGGTGAACCAAAGGCAAAGGAAGACCTTTCTCTCTGTCTCTCTCTCACTGTCCACTCTGCCTGTCAAAAAATAAAAAATAAATAAAATTAAAAAAAGAAAGAAAATTACAGACCAATTTCCCTGATGAACATAGATGTAAAAATCCTCAATAAAATTCTGGCTAATAGAATGCAACAACACATCAAAGATCATCCACCCAGACTAAGTGGAATTTATCCAGGGTATGTAGGGAAGGTTCAATGTTCACAAATCAATCAATGTGATACACCACATTAACAGACTGCAGAAGAAAAACCATCTGATTGGCCGGCGCCGCGGTTCACTAGGCTAATCCTCCGCCTAGTGGCGCCGGCACTCCGGGTTCTAGTCCCAGTTGGGGCGCCGGATTCTGTCCTGGTTGCCCTTCTTCCAGGCCAGCTCTCTGCTATGGCCAGGGAGTGCAGTGGAGGATGGCCCAGGTGCTTGGGCCCTGCACCCCATGGGAGACCAGGAAAAGCACCTGGCTCCTGGCTCCTGCCATCGGATCAGCGCGGTGCGCCGGCCGCAGCGTGCCGGCCGCGTCGGCCATTGGAGAGTGAACCAACGGCAAAGGAAGACCTTTCTCTCTGTCTCTCTCTCTCACTGTCCACTCTGCCTGTCCAAAAAAAAAAAAAAAGAAAGAAAGAAAAACCATCTGATTATCTCAATAGATGCAGAGAAAGCATTTGATAAAATACAACACCCTTTCATGATGAAAACCCTAAGCAAACTGGGTATAGAAGGAACATTCCTCAATACAATCAAAGCAATTTATGAAAAACCCACGGCCAACATCCTATTGAATGGGGAAAAGTTGGAAGCATTTCCACTGAGATCTGGTACCAGACAGGGATGCCCACTCTCACCAGTACTATTCAATATAGTTCTGGAAGTTTTAGCCAGAGCTATTAGGCAAGAAAAAGAAATTAAAGGGATACAAATTGGAAAAGAGGAAGTCAAACTATCCCTCTTTGCAGATAATATGATCCTCTACTTAGGGGATCCAAAGAACTCTACTAAGAGACTATTGGAACTCACAGAAGAGTTTGGCAAAGTAGCAGGATATAAAATCAATGCACAAAAATCAACAGCCTTTGTATACACAGGCAATGCCACGGCTGAGGAAGAACTTCTAAGATCAATCCCATTCACAATAGCCACACACACAAAAAAAAAGCAATGCACAAAAATCAACAACCTTTGTATACACAGGCAAAGCCACTGTAATCCATAAACTGTACTTTGGAAATTTATATTTATTAAATAAAAGTTAAAAAAAGCAATGAAAAAAAACCACAATGAGGTTTCACCTCACCCTTGTTAGAATGGCTTACATACAGAAATCAACAAACAACAAATATTGACAAGGATGTGGGGGAAAAGGCACTCTAATTCGCTGTTGGTGGGAATGTAAACTGGTAAATCACTATGGAAGACAGTTTGGACAAACCTCAAAAATCTGAATATAGTCCTACCATATGACCCAACCATACCATTCCTTGGAATTTACCCAAGGGAAATGAAATCAGCAAATAAAAAAAAAGAGTTTGCACCCCCATTTTTAGCTAAAACATGGAATCTACCTAAATACCCATCAACTGAAGACATGAAACTTTACAACTTAATCATTTTTTTTTAAAAGAGCTGAGTTCAGCCCTTGTGATCAACTGTTCTCTCAGGAACAAAAATACTTGAATAAAATTTCATACATTCTATTCAATATGTAATTATTGGTCTCCAAGTTTGCAAAAAGAAGGCAACAATACAACTATAATAGGAATCAATAGTTTCATTGTATGTGATAAGTCATGCTAAGTGTTTTAACACAGAAATACAGATCTTAGGCAGACATCCCCTCTCTACACAGAATATGTCATTGCCAATGTGAATCTGGCTCATCTCCAGAGAAGCAGGCTCAACAGGGATGAATGGAAATATACTAAGGGCCAATCAAAATACAAAGGTAATTCTTTCAAAAAGGATCTATTAACATTTACAAATTAAATACTTCCTATATCCCAGACAGGAGACCTAAACCAAACAATGGATTCCAACGGAATGTACTCAGCAGACGGAGGCTCTCAGAAGTCGCTGATGATGATGGAGAATCCAGTCCCTTTCTAGTAGTTTTTGATCTGTTTGGCTGACGTCAGAACTGATGATCTCGAACAATTTTGAATGGTTCATATTTAGCCTGGGTTTGACCATGAGGCAATTATCCTGATAGAAGGGTTTTTTTAAGCCACTCTGTTGTTGGAGTGGGAAAGAAGAAATGGAATTTTTCCCAGTGTTCATTTGCATTACTCAAATTCACTGTTGATCACTCTCAGCATTATTTACAGGAGGGAGCATCTTCCCAAGCCAAAACCTATCCTTAGCTTAGGCAACGCTTGCTTTTTCTTTATCTTCTGTTGACATTTACTCATTTTTGTACTGTTCATGTTTGGTCAAGAAGACCTGAGAGGAACAGCTGGCCCCCACTGGCCTGCTCCTACAAGAATGGTCTGGAGCATCTGAAGAGGAGCTCGTGTGTATCTCAGAGGCCCCTAAGTCCTGGGAGGGAACTGCATGCTCTGGGAGCCATCTTTCTTCACAGGAAATGGGCGTGTTGAAAGTATCTTTTGGAATCTTGCTCCCTGTGTTCCTGTCCAGGCCCAAAAATGTAACCTCAGACTGGCTGCACTCAAAAGGAGTCTTCTCAGTCATTCGATCTTCCTGCAAACTTTTATCATGAGGTGGTGAATGATGATTCTGGTTTTCATCATCTTCCATGGGAATACTTGGTACATTATCCAAGAACAGAGGAGAAGGACATCTGAAGGACTTCAGGGACATGGGCGGATCTTCGGCAAAATACAAGCTGGCTTGGGCACTTTCCAGGGCATTCAGGACCTAAAGAGCAAAGAAGCAAACCAACACTGAGTTAAGCTTGAATAACCTTCCCTCTATCTGCCTGTTAAAGAATCTTCTCTCGTTTTCATTAAATGTTAAAGTATAAAATTTTGAATTAGAAAGGATTTTAAAGATCTGCTAAACCTCTTTATTTCTGATATGTAAATTAAGTGACTGGAGGCAAAATGTAAAAGAAAAGGCAATGTATTATATATAAAATGTCCCAATTTTAGCCCTTGATTTGCCATCCAATGGCTTTGTGGCCTTAAGAAACTCTCTTTACATTTTTTACTTCAATCGCAGTATGTGGGGAATTGGAATGGTGGACCTAATTTGTAGTTCTTAAATGCCAGAACCCAGAGGACCTTTCTTCTTTCTTTTTTTTTTTTACAGGCAGAGTGGACAGTGAGAGAGAGAGACAGAGAGAAAGGTCTTCCTTTGCCTTTGGTTCACCCTCCAATGGCCGCCGCGGCTGGTGCGCTGCGGCCGGCGCACTGCGCTGATCCGATGGCAGGAGCCAGGTACTTATCCTGGTCTCCCATGGGGTGCAGGGCCCAAGCACTTGGGCCATCCTCCACTGCACTCCCTGGCCACAGCAGAGAGCTGGCCTGGAAGAGGGGCAACCGGGACAGAATCCGGCGCCCCGACCGGGACTAGAACCTGGTGTGCCGGTGCCGCAAGGCGGAGGATTAGTCTAGTGAGCCGTGGTGCCGGACAAGGACCTTTCTTAAAACACAAATCCTTTGGCCCCCACCTAAAGACTGTCATTCAAAAAACAAGGAAACAAGGACTCAGGCATCAGTATTTAAAAAACTTTCCAGATATTTGGATGTGCAACCAGATTTGGGAACCCTGCACTTAATATAATAAAACATACAATATACCATCACACACACATTACTTGAAAAATTCACGAAGGGAGCTTTACAATTTACAAAGCATGTTCATGTGTTTTATCTTCCTTAAGCTGCCCAAACGACATTATTACAGGTTGAGTATTCCTTATCCAAAATGATTAGGCCCAGCAGTGTTTCAGGTTTTGGAAGATTTGCACAGATTTTACTGGTTGAGCATGCCTAATCTAAGAATCTGAAATCCAAAATCCTCCAAATTCTTAACTTTCTGAGCACCATGCGCAGAGCCTGTGGAGACGCTGATCGGATAAGAATTACTGCTACCTAAATCCAGCTGCCTTTCAGACCAGACCTAAGCCGTCACTTCCATCCAGAAGCTTCCACAGGCTGGCATGTATTCTGACACTATGCTCCCACATAAGCTTGAGCTACATCCATCATGATGCTTATCCTACTAGACTAAAATTGCAGTTACTGGCCTGACTCCTTCTGACTGAATTTGAGAGTCACTGAGTCTTGGTCACTGTTGGGACATACTTTAAATTTTTGTTTATTCATGTAAATAAATAAATGGAACCATGATTAAATTCTGGGACAAATAAATTTTAAAAAAATAAAAGAAATTGATACACACAAAAAAAGATATTTATACTGCATTTTGAATGGGCCATATCTCTTAATAAAGACTCAGTAAAATATTCTCTATAAACTACTAATTTATAACATCATTGAATTGTTTTACAGTGCTCTGGTTCCATCCAATAGTGACCTCTCACATAGTTTCAAATTATGTGAATTTTTAAAATAGAAAAGCTAGTAAGTTTGAATTCTCCGTTGGAGAATTTGTCACATCAATAAACAATTCACTTAAATAGGGCCAGCATTGTGGCACAGTGCATCAAGCCACCACTTGCAAAGCTGGCATCTTATATTGAAATGTCACCTGCTTTACTTTTGAGCCATTTTCCTGCTAATTTTCATAAAAAAGCAGCAGTGCTTGGGCCCCTACTACCTATGTAAGAGATTTAGGTGGTGTTCCTCACTTCTGGCTTCAGCCTGGTCCAGCCTTGGTTGTTATGGCCTTTTGGGGGAGTGAACCAGTGAATGGAAGATCTCTTTTTTTTCTCTGTCTCTCCCTCTCCTTCTCTGCCTTCCAAATAAATAAATAAATCTTCAGAAACATCACTGATGTATACAACTCACTCAATTTGCATTTTTATGAGTTCTGAATAAAGCCATGCATACACGCACCTCATCCATTGACGGTCTTAACTTTGCTCGCGTCGCAGCACACTGGACTGCCAGAGAGAACAGCTTGGCAGAGAAATTCCGAGGACAGGGAGATACTTTCTTATCTAGAAGTGAGAAACATGAATCGAGGCCTCTCTTCTCCATCAATTCCATAAGGAGATCCCTCTAAGAAGAGGAGACAACCCAATCATTTAGAACCCCATCAGAAAAGTGACCAAAAGATAGATGCCAGTATGAAGGCAGCTCTTACCAGCTGAATATGTTTGGGATCATCTAACACCACTCTACAGCCTGTCAAGATTTCCATTATTACCTACAAGAAATATATAGAAAGTGAAAGCATATGTTAAATTTATAGGCACAACTTGTGACTGTTAATTATGACAAGGATGATTTTATATTACTACATGGATTATGCAAAATTAATGTGTATGACAATAACACGAAATCAGTAAGTCTAAAAGTTAAAGTTCTTTGAAAGAAAATGCATTTTTAGAATGTAGAATCCTCTTGACAATGCATTCTGCTCCTTTGTTAACTAGTTGTTGGTACTTACAATCCCAAAGCTGTAGATGTCTGTTTTCACTGAGAGTTTCCCTTGTCTGATGTACTCTTCTGGCATGTACCAGAGATGTCTAGTGCTGCTGCTGGCCACGCTTATGGTAGAACTTTGGTGTTCAAGGTGGGATCGGAAGTGTGCCATGGCAAAATCAGTTAGTTTGGGTTCACACTTATCATCCAAAAGTATGTTTGCACTAAAATTGTGATCAAAACAACAAGCAAGACAAGACATCAGAAGGTGTTTCCATGAAAGATTTTAGGGCAACCTCAACTTTTTAACTGGTTAATTAGAAATGTTGATATAATAAAGTCAAACATAGATTCCCATGAATTAAAGAACACTTTTTTCATTTTTCTTAAGATGTAAGCCCAAGTATTGCATAAAACCTAAAATGAAAACCTGACATGGTCATAATTATCATTTCAAATTTGTAGACACATAAAAGGAGATGGTGAATAAAGCCACTGATTTGTCAATAAGAAAAGCTAAAGATAAGATAACCAAAGCAGCTTTCTCCATACTTTTCTTACACTTAAGGAGAATGTGAATTAAGTGTTAAGCACCTAACAAGTGTGAAGCGCACAGAACTGCACTGTGGAATGCTTGGCACAGAGCCACTCACCTGGAATGATTTCAGGAATCTTTTGTAGGCCCTGACTTCATGAGAGCCCTGCACCATTTTTGTATCTCTTGGGCTTTTATTGTCTTTGAATCTCATTTAAAATATAAACAACTACAGAAGCAAAGACAAAATGCTTATATTCAATGACCACATGAAAACTTTAATAATCACTTGACATCTTGGTGAGGATAAGCATTAGATTTCTTTTACCTTCCAAGGGCTGTAAGAGCAGGGACAGGAAAGGGGAAGCCAAGAGAGGGATGCATTTCACATAGGGCACAGCAGGGAGTGTCCTTCCCTGGCTGTGTGACCACTGGTCACACAAAATTACTTCACTCCACAAAACTCAATGCCTTCTCTTCCCACATGTGAAAGGAGGAGAGCAACATAGTACTATATACTATTATTAAAAGTGGTAACAGTGGGGTGGATATCTGATACAGTGGTTAAGTGGCTGCTTGGGACACCTGTACCTCATTTTGAAGTGTTTGGTTTGAGTCCTGGATACCTGCTTTCTCTCCTGCTTTCTTCTAATGCACACCCTGGGAGGCAGCAGATGATGAATCAAGTATTTCGGTCCCTGCCATCCGTATGGGAAACTTATATGGAGATCCAGGTTCCTGGCTATTGTGGGCATTCGAGGAGTGAAGTAGGGGTTGTATTATCTCTTTAAATCTGTCCTCTCTCTGTCTTTCAAATAAAATGAGGATAAATTGATAGAAATTTTTTAAAAACAAAAAATAAAGGTGGTAACAGCTACTGGGATTCTTAATTCTGAACAAATACTGGGTCATATAAAAGTTTCAGAAGTCTTTGCTGTCCCTATACAAATAGGCCATCAGGAAGGCCCCAATTCCACAAATTTGAATTCTCAGTGTTATTAATATCCAGAGGATGCAGGGTCCTCCTTCTATTTAGAGGATTTAGGAGCACGGCCCAATGTTTGAAGCTGTGTCTCAAGAATTCTAATCCAGACTTTGTCTAGGACTGACAGGACAACAGACACAATGAAGGGACTCTCAAGGATCCCTTAAAGATATAGAAAGACACACTTTAAACTTCATTTCACTTCTTTCTCCTCTAAGGGTGGCAAGACAATTAAAAAATCCCAAGATCCCACCCCAGGCATGAGCCTAGGGCTCTTTATCTGTTGTGTGCTTCGTGCATTTATGGGGAGAAAGAGAGGATTGACCCCAGGACTTCTATCAATGAGAACAGTCCTTATCTTTCTCCTTGCCTGTGTTTTCTCCCCCAAAACCAAGCAGTTCCTGGAGTATGGGTCTTGCACAGCACCTTCTACTCCATCCCTCCCCAGTTTGCTCACTTTCTCATTTAGAACATGACCATCCTGACATTCCTCTGAAGACAAAATAAAGACATACTGAATTAAATGTCTAGAGTCAGATTCCACTTTCTCTCCAGCAGTAGACAAGGGCATTTAGTTCAGAATGACTTCTTCCACAGGTATGCACAGCACTCACTCATATCAAGCCTGGGGCTTCTGACGTTGCACTGTCTCAAAGCGCTGGAGTATGAGAAAGCAAGAGTTTTCCAGACTGACCAGGACAGGGAGCTGGGCAGAAAGTTTCACCAGTTCTCATCGCCAGGACCCAAGCTGCTGCCCTCCAGTTTCTCTGCCACACGAAGGGCCACTTCCACAGCCCTCACTGTGGTGTAGAAAAGCTCTGAATTCCAGATTCTATTTCCTTTTTTTAAAAAAATTATTTTTTATTTTATTTGAAAGACACATATACACCCAGAGAGATAAAATCTCCCATCTGCTGGTTCATTCCCCCAAATGCCTACAATGGCTGGGTTGGGCCAGGCCAAAGCTGGGAACTCAATCCAGGTCTCCTATGAGGGTGTCAGGAACCAAAGTATTTGAACCATCACCTGATGCCTCTCAGTTTCTGCATTAGCAGAAAGCTGGAACTAGGATTAGAGCTGAGACTTAAGACTAGGCACTCTTATATGGGATGCAAGCTTCTCAAGTGGTGTCTTATCTGCCAGGCCAAACATACACCTCTGAATGCCAGATGTTTCAGTGTTAAACATCAAGCCCTCTTCATCCTACACCCCAGCTCTAAAGAAGCTATAAAACCCTATTAACAATCCACACTGATGAGAAGGCCAAGATGAACTTGTGAAACACCTAAAAATCCCCGAATCTTTTCTCAGTGCAATTTTTTTTAAAAAAGTAAAAGTAACAACAAAACTTGTATTCTAGTCCACTTATTGGACATTCAGTGACACCAGGAAACCACTGTCAGCAGCTGATGAGTCACATTGCTGTGAAAGTTAGTCGGGGGTGAATGGAGGAACCACAATGTGTCACACACCAGGAAAAAAAAACACCACAGAGGACCTCGGGTCAGGGAGAGGTCACCAACAGGACATGAAGTTATTTCAGAGGATGCATTTACACATTGAACAGTGACATTTGGTGGAAAGACAAGTCATTTCCCAGAAGACTTCAGTGTTTACCTAAATTTTGAGCCCAGCGATTATTCTGTTGTAAATAAAGGTTAATGGTAGCTGAGGAAGAAGGATGTCCTGTTTCAGGGAGGTAAAATTTGCAAAAAGCACTTGAACAATCAATTTCTATCCTAATTAATTCCCCTGCTTCAAACTTAAATACAATGTTCGAGCATAAAGTATGTTCTACCATAGAGGTCAACTGAATAGATTTATGCTGTGGCATGAAAACAGACTAATAAAGACAACATAAAAATAATTAGAATCATAATAATACAACACACAAGGGCAGACTGCTAACTATGGTAGCCACCAAAGAAACAGGCAAGAGACAGGTGTTGGTCCACACCTTGAATTTAATATTCCTATATTCTGTATTTCCTACTATTTGCCATAAGACTATTTCCTGCAAGAGAGGCCACCACCTCTCTAGATCATTCTTTCAGCAGAAAGATTCTGGGTTGTACATTGAGGAAGTGGGGAGAATCTTTTTTTCAAAGAGTTATGTATTTTATTTGAAAGGCAGAATTAGAGAGAGAGAGAGAGAGAGAGAGAGAGAGAGAGAATGAGAATGAGAATGAGAATGAGAATGAGAATGAGAATGAGAATGAGAATGAGAATGAGAATGAGAATGAGAATGAATATCTTCTGTCTGCTGGTTCACTCCCCAAATCTCTGCAATGGCTGGAGCTGGGCAGAAGCCAGGAGTCAGAAGCTTCTTCCAGGTCTCCTATGTGGGTGCAGAAGCCCAAGCACTTGGAACATTTTCTGCCACTTTTCCAGGAGTATTAGCAGGAGGTAGATCAGAAATGAAGCAATTGGAACACTAACTGGTACCAAATGGGATGCTGGCACTGCAGACAGTGACTTAACTCACTATGCCACAATGCTGGCCCTAGTGGGGAGAATCTTACACAGGTGGTGAGTTTGTATCCCAATTCTGGGGACATTTCTTAATCTCTCTATTAAGACAGGTTTCTAGAACAGTTATTTTGGGGAACCTGAATCATCAAAACTACTTGATAGTGAGAATTGTTTTCTTTGCTCACCAGTTTGTCTTCTCCTCTCCACCCCTTTTTAAAGATTTATTTCTTTGTTTGAGAGGCAGAGTTACAGACAGGGAGAGAGAGAGAGAAAGGTCTTCCATCTGCTGGTTCACTACTCAAATGGCCACCATGTCTGGAACTAGGCCAATCCAAAGCCAGGAGCCAGGAGCTTCTTTAGGGTCTCCCACTCTTCTCTCATTCAAATTCTTGGGCCTTAAACCTAACCAAAGGTACATACTTATAGATGGTCCCCAACTTACGATGGCTCAGTTTATTATTTTTTAACTATATAAAGGCACAAAGAGTTTTTTCTACCCAGCTCCCTGCTAATGCACCTGGGAAGGCAGCAGATGATGGCCCGGGTGCCTGGATCCCTGCCAACCACGTGGGAGACCTGGATGGAGTTCCACATTCCTGGTTTTGGTCTGGACCAGACCTGGCTCTTGCATCTATTTGGGGGAGTGAACAGCAGATGGAAGATATCTCTCTATCTGACTTTCTGCTCCATCTATCACTCTGCCTTTCACATAAATAAATAAATCTCTTCAAAAAATAATGGTGCAAAAGTGATATGCATTCAGTAGAAATCGCACTTCCAGTTTTGAAGTTTGTTCTCTTCCCATGCTGGCAATATCTGAGGCTCCCTCATGATGCCAGGCAGCAGCAGTGAGCGTAGTTCCCAGAGGTCCCATGTTCATAAGGGAAAACCACCAGTGCTCCACAGTGTTCTCGGCTGTCAGCAGTTTTTGGATTCTGGTATTCCATACATTATGATGCATTCAACACTTTATTATAGAACATACTTTGTGTTAGATGATTTTGCTCAGTTGTAGGCTAATGTAAGTGTTCCAAGCAAGGTTTAAGTAGGCAAGGTTAAGCTACGATGTTCGGTAGGTTAGATATAGTAAATGCATTTTTTTTTGACAGGCAGAGTGGACAGTGAGAGAGAGAGACAGAGAGAAAGGTCTTCCTTTGCCGTTGGTTCACCCTCCAATGGCCACCGCGGCTGGTGCACCGTGCTGATCCGATGGCAGGAGCCAGGTACTTATC